AAGCAGAGATGTCATTTTCAATGAGAATGTGATGTACAAAGACAGATCAACCATGGAATCAAGTAGCTCCAACACCAAAGCTGAAATAAAGGAATTTGTTGAGTTTGAGGAGATTTCTGGAAATGATGTTCATATCGCTCCTGAAGTAGTTCAAGAAGAACCAGTCACACCAGAACTGAGACGCTCCTCCAGAATTTCTAAACCAACCCAACGATATTCTCCTTTGCATTACTTGTTGCTGACTGACAATGGTGAACCAGAGTGCTATTATGAAGCAATGCAAGTGAAGGATTCAGCAAGTGGGAGTCTTCCATGAAAGATGAGATGGACTCGCTTATGTCAAATCAGACGTGGGAATTAGTTGAATTACCACCAGGCAAGAAAGTGCTCCACAACAAGTGGATTTACATGATCAAGGAATAGCACGATGGGAGCAAACGCTACAAAGTGAGATTGGTTGTCAAAGGTTTTCAACAAAAAAAAGGTATTTACTACAATGAAATTTTCTCTCCAGTCGTGAAGCTGTCTACAATTAGACTGATATTGAAAATTGTAGCTGCAGAGAATTTATATCTTGAGCAGTTAGATGTAAAGACAGTTTTCATTCATGGTGATTTGGAGGAAGAAATCTATATGAGGCAGCCAGAAGGCTTCATAGAGGCAGGCAAGAAAAACCTGGTATGCAGGTTGAAGAAGAGCTTGTATGATTTAAAACAAGCTCCTAGACAGTGGTAGAAGAAGTTCGATAGCTTCATGGGTAGCAGTGGTTTTACCAGATGCCAAGAAGATCAATGTTGCTACATCAAGAGGTTCGATAATAGCTTCATTATTTTATTATTGTACGTTGATGACATGCTCGTTGCAGGCTCAAACATGCAAGAGATTATACACTTGAAGAAAAAATTGTCGAAGCAATTTGCTATGAAGGATCTAGGCGTTGCAAAGCAGATTCTTGGGATGAGGATCAAGAGAGACACAAAGTCGGGGACTTTGATGTTATCACAGGCTGAGTACATCAACAAAGTACTCTCTAGGTTCAACATGGAAGATGCTAAACCAGTAAGTACACCTTTAAGTGTTCATTTTAGACTCTCCAAAGAACAGTCACCAAAGACGGAGGAAGAACGCGCACACATGGTGAATGTGTCGTATGCCTCAGCAATTGGAAGTATAATGTATGCCATGGTTTGTACCAGACCAGATTTTGCTCAAGCAGTGGCAGTTGTTAACAGGTACATGAATAATTCGGGTAAGGTACATTGGGAAGCAGTCAAATGGATCCTCATATATCTACGGGGTACTACAAACAAAGCACTTTGTTTCAAAGGTGGAGATACGATACTGACAGGCTATATAGATACTGACTTAGCCGAAAATATTGATATCAGAATGAGCACTACAGGGTATGTCTATACTCTAGGAGGAACTGCAGTGAGTTGGGTTTCTCAACTACAGAAGATAGTTTCTCTCTCCACAACTGAAGCAGAATATATCGTTGTTACGGAAGCTAGCAAGGAGATGGTTTGGCTCCAAAGTTTCTTGGAAGAGTTAGGCAAGAAACAAGAAAACAATGTCTTGTATTACGACAGTCAAAGTGTTATCCATCTAGCAAAGAATCCGTCTTTTCATTCCAAGACGAAGCACATACAATTGAGATATCATTTTATCTTATCTCTTCTAGAAGATGGGATTTTGAAACTTGAAAAGATTAGTGGAGCTCAAAATTCGGCAGACATGTTGACAAAGACGGTGACTACGGACAAACTGAAGTTGTGTTCAGCTTCAGTTGACATGCTAGAATTACAAGACCAGAAATACTGCTGCATTGATCGAGGTGTAAAGACAGATTAAAATCAGTCTTCAAGTGGGAGATTGTTAAAAGTTAGTTCAAAGTTTGGAAACCAACTTTAAAAAATATTTTTCAAAGTTTGGTAAATGTTTCTTTGAAAAATGTTTTTCAAAGTTTGATAAAGTTTGGTAGATGTTTGTTGAAAATAGGAATGGGTAAATTCGCTTTAGTCATTGCACTTTAGGGTATTTTCAAAGATTAGTCCCTAAGTTTCAACTATAAATACCCTAGCTCATTTAGCTTCAAAATTATCCCAAATCCCAAATCATTTCTCTCCCAATATTAGAGAGTTTCTTGTTAGTAGTGAGTGTTTTGTAAACACATGTAAATGTTCTCTCTTAGTAAAAGATCTGCAGCAGTCCGGAGACGTAAACACAATTGGCTGAACTCCGTTATCAATTTTCGGGTATTATTTTTCCATTTTTATTTCGCATTCTTACTAATCTGGTTATAGGGAAATTACTTGTTTACTCGTTTATTTCCCAACAATGGCAACTATAGGGAAATTTATGTTTCGAGATTTGATTTTTGGGAACTTGTTTCTTCTAATCAAAGTTTCTCATATTTTTTCCGCCCGTCAACTCTCGGATACTGGTTCACTATCACTTTCTCCTTTGTTACCGTCGCTTACCGTGTAGGCCACCAAGATGGGATAATTTAAATATTTTAGTAAATATTTAAAATATTTTATTTTTAATATTGAGTGATGTGAAAATATGTGACATCCGCATAAACAGAAACTAACGATTATGTTAGTCAAAACAGTTAATGGTACAAATTGATACAATTAAACAACTTCAAAAGTAAAATTGATGCGAAAATATGATAATGACGAAATGTCGTGGACATCTCATTTCCATGAGATTACCCCGACCGTAACCCGATGTTAGGCCCAGTAGGTTGCGTTTGTGACACAAGGAAAAACTTGAAGAATGAAGAAAGAGGGCTTGTCAAGGTAATGACCCCAATTCAAACATTCCAACGTGTACTAGTGTCATGGCTAGTAAGTTTATTTAGCTCTTTAGGGGGAAGTGATCTGGTGTTGGGTCTCCTAGGTATAAGAGACCTTCTCCTAGGTTCGTGAGGAACCTAGGTGTGCGGACATCGGGACCAAGTGGATGGTACGGTGTCTCTCTAGGGTGATACCTAGGGACGGTTTGGGGTAAGTGGGCCTCATATCGTGCTCTGAGTTGAGGAGTGGGGTTGGTATCTAGTATTCGCTATGCCCTGCGGGATCTCATTTCCAAGAGTACTTGTGGCTTTGGAGTTATATTATGGTGCGAGATTAATTTGTGGCTTGTTTGTTCGGACAGGGTACTATGGGATTGACTAATGAATCGAGGGACGATTCTTAGCTAATGTGACTTGGCTTCACTATGAGTTAATTCGAGACATGGATCTATGTGGGGAAAGGTTGACTTGTCTGGGAGTTGTCCCATTCAAGTGCCGTACGGCATAACAACATGCTGGAGACGTTATGTCTGTGAAACTTGGTATCAGAGCCAAAACAGTTTGGTTTTGGAAGATGATTTGAGTTTCTTCGATTCTATTTCACGCCAAGCACTTCGACACGTTGAGTAGGCAAGGTGGACAATGTTCATGCCAAGCACTCCAATGTGTGGAGTAGGCAGGGTGACCTGGCCATATACCAAGCACTCTAGCGTGTGTTGTAGGCAGGGTGAAATAGTTTGGAAAATACACAGGAGTGCCAGCTTAATGATTGAAGCACAGAGGTGCTCATCTCGTGGACTAAGGCATGTTGATGCTTGGACCTGCGTATTGCATAGCGGTGCACATTCGCTAAACTTAACACAGAGGTGGTTGGTTGTCAATTACAACACAGAGGTGCTCGATCACTTGTAAAAGCACGGGAGGTGCTTGATTTTAGATGGTAGCACAGAGGTGCTCCATCATCTTAATGCACGGAGGTGCCATATCCTAGATTGAAGTATAGAGGTGCTCAATCAATTTTAGCTACACAGAGGTATCAGCTCTCGACTAATGCACAGAGGTGCTCAGTCATTTTTAACTGCACATAGGTGTCAGTTCCCGGTTGAAGCACAGAGGTGCTCAATCCATTTTAGCTACACAGAGGTGTCAACTTTCGATTGATGCACAGTGGTGCTCAATCGCTAATTCAGGCACAGAGGTGTTTGAATTCAGCACAGTGGTGCTATTTTCCTTTCTAATTTGAGCTCGATGGTGCTTATGTGTGTTGCAGGCATAGAAGTGCTAACGAATTAAAGAGAACGGGGTGGATCAATAAGCTCTCACGGAGGTGTAGAGCAAAAAGCAACCGAGCCGTTTGTATAAGAAACTAGTTCTGTTGAGTGATGAAAGCTAGAAGAGATCAAAGTCGTGCTAGTGACTCTTCTCTTTTTTTTTAGGCACGATAGTGCCTCATTTGTGGTGCAGGTATAGAGGTGTTTACAAACTAGTGTGAATGGTTCGTATGTGTAATGATGGGTCAACAAGCTCTCACAGATGTGAGAAGCAAAGAGTTATAATTCATGTCATACATGAGACGAGTTATGCGGATTTCGAAAGTTAGGTGAGTTGAAAGCCAAACTAGCGGTCGGTATTACTCATATGATATCTGCTGATCAAACAAGGAGAGTCGAGGAGCCAATTATAAAAAAAATCTCTACCTAACAATCTTCACTTTTTCCTCGAGAAAATTCAACAGAAACATACACTAAATCTCCAATATATTTTCATTGAATAGCTTAGACTAAAACCTCAATGGACGTATATATTGCTACAGAGAATATGTCATAGGCTAAGACTTGAGTTGCAGTGCAAGCAACTGACCATAGCAGATACGAATAATCCGAACCGTGACTCAAGACATCATGTCTCAGTCCAGACCTTTGGAAGTTTCTTTTTTGCTCGAAATCTCCATATCCTTAGTGCATCCATTGTTTAGAGACGCTTCAGCAAACGTCTTGATCATACTCTGATTCTTGCAAATATCTTCGGCGGCAGGTTGACATCCACTTTTGTCAACCAATGAACAATCAGTGGTACTATCATTGGCGTTTCGGCTTTCTTCAACCAGGTTCGATTCGACATTAACTTGATGACCTCCAACTGATTTCTCATTAGGATGCTCAGCAACTACCTTGAGATTCTTGAACTCAGATTCCATATTTTATACAGCTTCCTTTTGTTCTTTAACTCCCTCACCTGGTTTATTTTTCAAAACGTGTGCTCCATTTTCTCGCACATGCTCGACAAGCAAACTGTCCGACGCAGAACTCATGGTACAAACAGCTGCTTCCGATTCTTCCTTTGAGGAACCTTCAACAGTTGGACTAGAAGCGATGCCATTACACTGCTGAATTAGCAAATTTAACGACGAGGTAGTAGTATACTTAGCTCTTTGAGCTGCAGATTTTGGTGAACCAGGATGTGAGGTCGAAGATTGCACCTCCAAATGAGAAGAGGGGCCACTGGGTATGACAGGTTTAACCGAAGAGCCACCTGAAATGATTATATGAATAGCATTTTGGACTGGGCCGCCTTAAGCAGGGACGCAGCAGCCTCTGGGCTACCAATACGGGCTCCAGCAGCAACAGCAGTGGCATCTAGGATTGAACCTCTACCGGAAAAATATGTTGGTGGGTTCTTCAAGCATGCCTGAGATTTTAATGTAGAACCTGATGATCCTAAGGGTGAGGATTTCATTATCATGGGACCTTGTTGAGACGGGTTTGGGACTTGGACTGAAGCTACATGAACTTGCTGAGACAGATTCTTGGCAGGGACACACTACAATAAATTTCTATTATTATGACTAATTGAATTTTGTCAAAATTAATTTTGTCACTATTAATAGTTTTTTGGTGACAAAATAAATAATCGTCGCATTAAATTAAAATATATATACAATTATGACAAAAGTTAAAATCGTCATAATAATTTGTCACAATTAGTAAACATGTGTTACATATGGTGACAAAATAAATTTTATTATGAATTTTTGTCATAAATGTTTCCCTCCATTTTTTCGGAGCCAAATTAAAGGCATATAGTGACAAATTTTGTAACTAAAAGTTTTAGTAACTATGACAGAAAAAATTGTCATAACAAATAATGAGATTTAGATTTATTGTGACAAATTTTGTTTTTAATTATATATTTTAATTATAGTTACAAAACGTATAGTCATAAATGATTATCTCCAATTTTTTGTACAAAAACAAAATCATATAGTGACATGTTTTGTAACTATAAGCTATAATTATTGTTACAAAAAAAATTGTCACAACAAATAATGAGATTCAAGTTATTAGTAAAAAATAGTTTTTGTCGTTATATGTTTTAATTATACTAACAAAATATACTATCACAAAGATTTCCCTCCATATTTTTTTGCGCCAAAAAAGTCATATAGTGACAAATTTTGTAACTATAAGTGTTAATAATTATTACAAGAAACATTGTCACAAAAAATAATGATATTCATGTTTTTGTGACAAATTATATTTGTAGTTATAAATTTTAACTATAGTTATAGCATATATTGTCATAACTATTTGTTGAAAACATTTTGATATTTCGATATAACAAATTAAGTTAAATGAATTTTAAGATTTTCCAAAATGATTTTCTAAGTATATTCGATAGAATTATTCGAATATCAAAACATTACTCAAAATATTTCAAAAATCATTTTTAATCCTTACTTAAGTGTAAAATTAAGTTTTAATCTTAAAACAATTTCAAAATAATCTTTCAAAGTATTTCGAACCATTTCAAAGCCAAAAATTCCAGATTGCTCAGAGGGAACCGATTCCCCCCAAGGGGGTACCGATTCCCCCTGAATGGTTTGACTCCAAGATTTCCAGAATGCTCGGAGGGAACCGATTCCCCCATAGGGGATACCGATTCCCCCCTATTCAACGGTCGAAATATTTGAATTTTACACTTAGGGAACCGATTCCCTATAAGGAGGAACTGATTCCCCCACGCTCCAAGCTGTTTTATTAATTGTTTTCACACTAAAACGGCTATATTATCTTCATTAATTATCCCCAACGTTTAGAAGTGATTCAATGTGTATTTAAACAAGTTCTGAAGCCCTTGATCAACAAGAAATCATAGAGAAACAAGAGAGAAAGCATCAAACACAAAGTTTGTGCAATTCAAGCCAATTTTCATTCAATATTCATTTTGCTTTCAAAGAACACTTATTGTGCTCATTTGTAATTTTCTTTGAGTGTTCTTTTCTTGTTCTAGAATTGTGCAAACATCTTACCTTGTGAGGTTTTCTTGTAAGTTTGCAAATCTGTAATCTTCTCTTTGGGTAAAAGAGTGTTCTCAAGAGTTGGGGTATACTCTTGAGGGAATTGTAAGGTTATCTCTTTGGCCTCAAAAGAAAGAACAAATTAGTGAATTTGTTGGAAAATCCTTAGTGTGGATAGCTAAGGCAGTGGACGTAGACTTTATTTGAGAAAGTCGAACCACTGTAAATCGCTGTGCAATTACTTTCAATTTTCTGCAAAAGCTTCTACAAAAATTTTAATTACCAATTCACCCCCCTCTTGGCCGATTCCGTCAATCGATTAACTCAACAATTGGTATCAGAGCCTAACTCATTTGAAGGTTTTATCGCCTCTTGAGTCGATTCGGGAAGAGTTATATCGATTATTAAAGTCATCAATGGCCTCCGCTTCAAACTTCGACTCCGGTCTCGATTCGATGCCCGTCAACAAGCCTCCTTTCTTCAATGGAGCTAACTATGCCTATTGGAAGAATAGAATGATGTACTTCATTCAAGCAAGTAACATGGGAGCATGGAATGCTGTAGAAGAAGGATACATCAAACCTCTCACTCATCCAAGGTTGTGGAGTGAAGGAGAGACAAGAATGTTCCAGCTCAACTCCAAAGCCATCCATATTATTTTTTGTGCTCTTGGACCAGATGAATACGAAAGAGTTTCATCATGTACAACCGCCAAAGAAATATGGGACAAACTTCAAGTCACATATGAAGGTACAGATGAGGTAAAGAAATCAAAAATTAGTATTCTAACGCATAGCTATGAAAATTTCAGGATGAAACCAAATGAAGACATCAAAGCTATGACGGATAGATTTTCAACGATTGTCAATGGTCTCAAATCATATGGAGAGATCATCTCAAATGAAAAGCTTGTGAGGAAGTTAGTCTACTCCCTCCCAAAATCATGGCAATCAAAGAAGACGGCAATCATCGAGTCTAAGGACCTATCGTCCTTAACTCTTGAAGAACTTATCGGTTCACTCCTCACTCATGAGATGATGCTCGAAGATGAGGTGGACCTTGATAAAGTTGAAGAGACACCAAAGGAAAAGGAGAAGAAGAAAAATATTGGAGTTGCTCTCAAATCCACAAAAGATGAGAGCGATTCTAATAATGATGATGATGACGAGGAAATGGCATTGTTTGCCAAACGGTTCAGAAAAATGATGAGACCTTACCAAGGAAGAAAATTCAAACGAAACGAAGGCCTAAAAAATGAACCAAAAGAGAAGGACCCAATCATTTGCTATGAATGCAAAAAGCCGGGGCATGTCAAATATGATTGTCCACAATTGAAGAAAAAGGGTCAATCAAAGAATAAGCACAAGGCTCATGTGGCTACATGGAGCGATGAAGAAAGTTCCGATGAAGAGGAACAAGAAGTAGCAAACTTGTGCTTGATGGCATTCGGGGAAGATTCTAAGGTAACCTCTTACTCATCCGATTTTGATGATTTATCTTATGATGAGTTATTTGAGGAGTACAATGGGTTGGCTTCGGATTATGAGAAATTGTTTTTAAAATATAAAAATGATGTTTCAAAATTGAAAAATGAAAACAAACTCATATCCAAAACCAACAACGATCTTGAAAGTAAAATCAAAGATTTGCAAATCAAACTAGAAGAGTTTGAAAAGAAAAATTTAGATTTGCAAAATTTACTTTCAAAGATCAATGATGATCATCAAAAGAAAATTGATGATCTTAAAACTTCTTTTGATAAAGTTGGAACAAAACATTTTGAAAGAGGTGGAAATTCAAAATCCAACTTTGTTAGAAAAAGTTTTAGAAACTACAATCATAGAGGTCCCCAAAGAACCTCTAATGGAAAAATCATTAGAAGTATGTGGGTTCCTAAAGAACTCATTACTACTAAAGATAAAAATATCCTACACAAATGGATACCTAAGGGGACTAGGATTTTGGAAACTAATGAATATGGACCCAAAAGAATTTGGGTACCAAAAATCAAAACTTAATCTATGTTTGTAGGGAAAGGAGCATTGCTACAAGGCACGGGAAACAAATTTAACCTCATGGTACCTTGATAGTGGATGCTCAAGACATATGACCGGAGACAAAAGCCGGTTCATTGAGCTTAACGCCAAAAATGGAGGAGAAGTGACTTTTGGAGACAATTCAAAAGGTCACATTGAAGGTATTGGTACAATAGGTAATACCTCTTCCATACAAATTAAGAATGTTTTATATGTGAATGGATTAAAGCATAATCTTTTGAGTATTAGTCAATTATGCGATAAAGGATTCAATGTCTTATTTGAAATTAATGGTTGTAAAGTTATTGACATTGCATCTAATCGGATTATGCTTGTTGGTCATAGAATAGGAAACATTTACATGGTGCATTTAGATTCTATTGATATGACTAATTTATGCCTAGTTGCTAAGGATGAGCATGATAGTTGGTTATGGCATAGGAGACTAGGTCATGCTAGTATGAGTGTTTTGAACCGGTTAATTCAAGGAGACTTAGTAAGAGGGTTGCCTAAGCTTAAATTTGATAATGATAAAATCTGTGATGCTTGTGCTAAAGGAAAACAAAAACGAGTTTCTTTTAAATCTATTAATGATGTATCAACTAGTAAAGTATTACAATTGATCCATTTAGATCTTTTTGGGCCAACTAGAACTACAAGCTTGGGAGGAAAACAATATGCTTTTGTCTTGGTAGATGACTATTCTAGATACACTTGGGTTCTATTCTTAAGTACTAAAGATGAAGCATTAGAAAATTTCATCACATTTTCAAAAATAATTCAAAATGAAAAAGGTTACTCTATCACTAGTGTTAGAAGTGATCATGGAACTGAATTTGAAAATCTTGGATTCATTGAGTTTTTGTAATTCTAATGGTATTAGCCATAATTTTTCAGCACCTAGAACCCCTCAACAAAATGGAGTTGTTGAGAGGAAAAATCAAACTTTAGAAGAAATGGCTAGAACCATGCTTTGTGAAAATAATTTGCCAAAATATTTTTGGGCGGAAGCCACAAATACCGCTTGTTATGTTATAAATCAAGTAATGATTAGGCCAATTTTAAAGAAAACTCCATATGAAATTCTCAAAAATAAAAAGCCTAACATTAGCTATTTTCATCCTTTTGGATGTAAATGTTTTGTTTTAAACAACGGTAAAGAAAATCTTGGCAAATTTGATGCTAAAAGTGATGAAGGAATTTTTATGGGTTATTCCTTAAATTCTAAAGCTTATCGTGTATTTAATAAAAGAACTTTAGTTTTAGAAGAGTCTATACATGTTGTTTTCGATGATAATCCCCTTCAGAGGAAGGATTCTTCTGTTAATGATGATGTAGGTATTGTACAAGCAAATGACGTTAGACATGACGTTGGAGAATCATCATCAAAGGAAGAAACAAAAGATGAGGAAACTCATGATCCCCTCAAGAATCCAACCATTGAAGAAAGGGAAGTATCTTTTCCAAGAGAGTACAACTATGTCAAG